GTGGCGGGCGAGCTGCGACAACCGACGTGAGCGTAGACCACCCTGGTGGTTGATGTACGCTACTGTAGCGGTATTGTCTGAACGGACCAGTACGTGTTGACCCCTGAGCAGTGCTCAAAAGCGGTAAAGGGCCAGGCATACTGCCAGCAGCTCGAGGCAATTGATGTGCATGAGGCGCTGGGGTCCTGTCCAGGAACCCGCGGCTGCATGCCCATTGCACATGGCACCCCAACCTGTGGTAGATGCATCCGTGGAGACAACGAGATGCCTGGAAGCTCGCTGAAGCGGGACACCGGCCCGTAAAAAGCTGAGGTTCGACCACGGGAAGTAGGTTCGGCGGCACGCTGGAGTCACTGGAACCTCGGAGCGAGCCGCGATGCCATGCCCACCTCGGGACTCAATCGCGAAGCCACAGCTGAAGCGGTCTCATATGAAGCAATCCGAGCGGCGTTGCCGCGGCTGCGGATGCCATATGCCCCAGGAGCCTCTGAAAAAGTTTCAGTGGGACCGCACTCTTGCCCTCGAACTGTCGAAGACAAGTCAGCAGTGAGTGCGCGCGCTCGTTCGTGAGCTGCGCGGACATGGCGACCGAGTCTATCTCCATGCCGAGAAAAGAGATCCTCTGCAGGGGGCAAAGTTTGCTCTTTTCCCGGTTGACCCGAAGGCCCAGACGGGCTAGGTGCCAGAGCACCAGGTCTCTGTGTTCGCAAACCTGTTCTCGAGAGTGTGCCAGTATCAGTCAATCGTCGAGATAGTTCAGGATGCGAACCCCGTGTTCGCGAAGGGGAACATGGGCTGCCTCGACGATCTTCGTGAAGACGCGAGGAGACAGAGCTAACCCGAATGGGAGAACCGTGTACTGATATGCCTGGCCTTCGAAAGCAAACCGAAGAAACGGTCTGTGTCGAGGCAATATGGAGACATGAAAGTACTCGTCCTTCAGGTCGATCGCTGCAAACCAATCCTGAGGCCGAACGCATTCGAAAATGCATTTGGCTGTGAGCATTTTGAACGGTAGTCGATGGAGAGTACGGTTCAAAATGCGCAGATTCAGGATCGGTCGTAACCCACCGGTCTTCTTGGGGACAATGAAGTAGGGGCTGTAAAACCCAGACCTCACCTCGGCTGGAGGGACCGTCTCGATTGCACCCTTCGCTGGAGGGACCGTCTCGATTGCACCCTTCGCCAGCAGGGTCGCAATCTCCGATCTCATGACCGGGGCGTTGCCACCGACCATCGTGGAGTGAACTCCCCTGAAACGGGGAGGAGACCGTGCGAACTGAATCGCGTAGCCGAATCTGATCGTTCTGATGACCCAGCGGGACAGCCCGTGGAGCTCTAGCCAAGCTCCCAGGAAATGAACCATCGGGGTCATGCGAACCACAGACGTCCCCCCGGAGGGGCAGCGGGGCGGGGAGACCGGCATGCGCCCGGGAGTTACCCCGTGCGGATGCACATTCGAGCCCCGTTCCCCGACAGAAGAGACCAGACCAGCGTTCCACGGGGGTCTGTTCTGCCGGGGGTCTGGCGACAGAGGGGGAGGGGAGTGGCGTAGTCGAGGGACGACACACGCTCCCTTCCGCACCCTCAGAGACAGAGAGGAATGAGAGGGTCGACGCGCTGGGGCGACGAGCGTACTCATTCCAGTCTGTGTGCTCAGTGATGATGTCAAGTCTTTCTTTAACCAACTCAGGGTGCTGCCCACCCGTGGGTGAGCAGCGGGGAGCTGAGAACAAAAGATTCTCCCCCGGCCCTCCACCGGGGGAAGGAGGGGGCCTGCTACTTCCTCCTGAGAAACACTCGACTTCGTCACTGAGCAGCCCGTCTCAGGAACGTCGCTTCGCCTGGCGTTTAGCGGGGCGCGCGGCCTGAGGGGGCTGCGAGGCCTGCCTGCGGCCTCCTCCACGTCGCGTCCCAGACGAAGACTGCTGCTAGGGACACGTGGGAGGGAGGGGAGCCGCAGCGGGGCGTCCTCTGCGGCGAGCAGAGGGAGGCGTCTGAGCCGACGGCTGGGTGGAGGCAGCAGCTGACCGTCGGGGCAGAATATGTTTAATGGCCTCCGTCTGCTTCTGGGCGGTCGAGAACTGCTGGGCGAAGTCCTCGACCGCACCACCGAACAGGCCAACCTCGGAGGGGGTCCTTTGTGTCTGCTAGGTTGAGCCATAGGTGGTGCTCCTGGACCACACTAGTGGCCATCACCTGCCCAACGGAGCGAGCGGCCACTTTCGTCGCCCGGAGAGCGAGGTCAGTGGCAGCTCGCAGCTCGTTAAAAGCCGCTGGGTCAGTCCCACCCTCGTGCATGTCTCTGAGCAGTTTGGCTTGAAAAACTTGCAAAGTGCTCATGGCATGCAAAGCGTCGGCCGCCTGTCCCGCCGCTCTATAGGAACGCGCTGCCATAGACGACGAGAACCTACAGGCTTTGGATGGGTGCTTAGGAGTCCCACGGGAGGACGCGCTCTGCGGACACAGTTGCATCGCAACAGAGCACTCCACCGGAGGAATCCCAGCGTACCCACGGGCAGCCGCGCCGTCAAGGGGAGGAAAGGCGGGGGAGGCTGGAGCGCGCTCTCGTGGGGTCAAAGGGGCCTTCCAAGTGCGCGTCAGCTCCACATGCAACTCGGGAAAAAAAGGAATTGGGGTCGGCTGTGGCCTTGCGGCGGCAGCTTTACCCAAAAACCAATTATCCATCCATGAGAGATCGGGGCAGGGCGGAGGGTTCCACTATAACCCGATACTCACGGCGGCCCGAGATAGCATGGCCGTCATCTCGGGATCAGACACAGGCGACGCTGGCGCTCCCGAGGGAGGCAACGCAGCCGCATCCTCACTTCCCGAGGAATCAAGCCCGCCCTGTGATGCCGCGATCGACATCGCGTCATCCTCTGGAGCTCCGAACGAAACAGACGGTACCTGCGAAGAGGCAGACGCCTGCATCGAAGCAGCACTCGCTGGCTCTGACACTTGGGCGGGGGGTGTGGCCCGAGGATCTCTCGTCGGGTTTTTGTTCCACACCCTCACCGTCAAATCACCCTGTCCGCGAGTCGAAGAGCTTCTCGAAGAAGAAGCTGAACGAATAACGGACGCGGGGACTCTCACTTTAGTCAGATCATTGAGTCTCGATCGCAGTGTAGAGATGGTCATGTCCCCACAAAAGGCCACAAAAGGAACATGAGTCATCCACGAACGCTACTGTGAATGCTGAATACCCAGGCAAACAGAGCAGCAATCGTGACCATCAGAGGACGACATGAATCGACCGCATCCAGAAGAACACGGGGGAACCATCTTTAAAAAGACGTGCCACGTGCAGCTCTTTCAATGAGAGGAGGAAATTCACTCTTTCAGCGCTGAGGCGTCCAGGGAGAAGCGCAAAGTCTGGCAGACCACTGCTCAGATCGCAGGCAATGCAGAATCTCGCTGGGTACCGCCGTCACACCAACACTGAAGAGGAAGTTCGTCTCGAAGAGTCTTGTCAGTGAGAATGGCTTAAAGGGACACTGTGTAGATTTTTAGGTATTTTATTATCAGAAATCAATATTTTTATTCATAAATATGTCCTCAATGGTGTACAAATACCTCTGCAAATTATCTGACTTATCCTCGTAAATGAAGAATTTATTATCTTTATGTACATGGGACGGGTAGGTTAACGGAGGCTTCCATGTCGTTCCGCCATCTTGAAAAACTATAATAGCAGAGAGGGTCAAAAAGTACCACCAGCCAAACGCGTTTCCACAACGCGTTTTCGTTCAGACTCAGAGCCAGCGTCACGTCACATTGAGAGGCGCATTCCCTGCAAGTTTAAACGGCTGCATTGCTCTCCTATGATTGCTGATTGCTCTATTATTTGTAATGGCGGACCATACATATGCCGAGTCACAGGAGAATGCATCTTCCACGCAAAAAAAGGCAAGACTTGAACGAAAAAGGAAACGTGACCGGAGATTGCAAAAAACGAGAGTAAATATCGGGATCGCGTTTTCAAGGTGGAAAGAGCTAATGCAGCAGAAAGATTTCAGAAGAGACGCTGAAGTTGACTGCTTTCTCCTCGACAGGTTAGTCAATGTTACAGTCTTAATTAATTTTTTTGTCATTTTTCGGTTGTGTACTTTATTATATAGACAGTATAACATAGGTAAAAAAGTTAAACAAGGTCTTTGATGAATAGCAGCTATTGACTACTTTACTCGCTGCTATTGTGAAGGTGCTAAAAACAAGGTTTGTAAGTTTACTCTTTATAACCTATAAATTCAGTAAGAATATAGAGATAATGAATGTTTTTGCATTGTTTGCACACCTAATGCTATTTCAAGTTTTTAGTTATCTGAAATTTTATGTTATTTATCATTTATACTGTGACCTCGCATTGAATAATACAGACACATACAGTAATTTTGTATGTAGCCTATGCCTATAGTTTTATTTGTGAACATTGGAGAGGGTCAACAACTGCTGGAGTCAAGTCCCTTTTATGTAAGAATAAATGGTCAATAAACCATGATCTGATTTTCCCATCTGATTTGTGCAGTTATGAGAGTACCCTTTTCAGTTGTAATACATCAACCCCCATCAAGGCAAAATGTGTTCAAGTGGCAAATGCTCCAGCGTTGTCAAGCATTTCCAGTGGGACAGATAGGTAAGTCATTTAATTGAAATAATTTTTTAATTGTTAAAATACAAGTTTCATATCAAACTTGTATCTACCTATGCATCATATTGTCTTATGATTTTTGCTTTTAGAGCTGAACAACAAAGTGCACCGGAAGTTGAAACCCTTGAACAGAGGTAACCCATAAACAGTCAATTTTGTGTCCCATATCAATACTATCTGGTTGCATGTTTTCAGCTAATGCATGCTTTAAATGATCATTTATTTTCATAGTATGCATGACATGAGTATTGTTGAAGAGGAGTTGAATTCAGTATTGAAGTCAGGATTGATTTGGAAGAAGAGGGACCCTCATTTCATGGTTACCTGGACGACAGCTATGATGAGGAATACCTTCCAACAATTTCATTGCGGTGAGTCATTATCTATTACTTCTTTTTACTTTGTTTATGTGCTGAATTTTTACATGTAAAAAATGTTTAGGGCTATTTTGGAATGTTTTTGAATTCTTTTAGTTCACACTGATGTCTCAGGTAATAAATTTGATCATGGTTATATGCCGGAAAAACTTGGAAATAATTCAATTGAACTGTGTATGATCCCTGAAGTTCTTCTCTTCCAGAATGGGTGGTGCACTGAAGGGAGCACAGGTAATTGACAATCTGCCAACTATTGGGATTGATGAGACTGTGCATGATCTGCCTGCCCCTGAAGTCCCTCTCGATGAGCCCTTGAGTCTTGAGCTGCCGATTTTGCCAGGCCCTCAGAAGGTCCTCAGTGAGGATGACATTATTGGCGTTAGAGCAGCTGTGCTCTATGAGAACTGCTTGAGGCAGCTTGTCACATTTTTAACTCTTCCTGTGAACAGATGCACTGGTGTCTTGAGGACTGGTTTAGTGTGTGACAGTGTTGCCCCATTTTCAACAAACATCGGCATCAGGGGCACTGCAATGAGTGTTGAATGGGTAAGCCTTTCACATCACATCAAAATGTATCGTAACAAATGGCACTGTTTATGCCTTATGAATTTTACAATGCTACCCTTATCTTACCAGATCTGCCCCAATGGACATTGCCTATGGCGGTGGAATTCACAGCCTGTGTTGAAGTTTGGCATGCAGGCTGGGGACTTTCTTCTTTCCACTAACATTTTACTTTCTGGAAACAACTACACTGAAGTTGCTCTCCTATTTAAATTCATGAACATACAAATGGTAAACACCAACACACACTACACCATCCAGGACACCTACTGTGTTGACACTATTAAAGATTTTTGGGAAGAAAAAATGTCTGAGTCCATCAGCCGACTAAAAGGGAAAGATGTTGTGCTCCTAGGTGGGTAATTATATATTTGAACTTGTTCTCCATTAATTGTTATGGTATTAAACAATTAAACTACTTTTGCAATCATCTTATCATACAGGTTTTGTATTTTGAAATTACCTGTATTTCCTTTTTCTTTAGGTGATGGCAGAAATGACTCACCAGGGCATTCTGCCCAATACTGTAGCTACAAAACCATGGAGCTTGACTCTAAGGAAATCATCCATGTGGCCACTATAGACAAGCGGCAGACCAACTGGAACTCCAACATCATGGAGAAGGAGAGTTTTATCCAGACAGTGGACAAGCTTAAGAGATCAAGGTAGTGGAGTTCTGCATGGATGCTCATGTCCAGATTGGAGCCCTTTTGAGTAAGTGGTCAAATAATAAAACATTTGAATAGAAATATTGAATTGCTGATTGAGAAATGATTCCAGATGAAGGAAAATATAAGGATCTGAAAATTCACCACAGCCTGGACATGTGGCATGGTGCCAAAAAATTGTGCAAAAAAATAGCAACCGTAAGTTCTAATACATCTAATTTCATTTATAAAGATTTGTACCTTCCTGCATGTCGGTGTAATAATTTTGTTATGTTAGGTCTCCATCAAAATATTTACAAGGTCTAACTTCCATTGTCTCTGTTTTGTTAATTACCATAAAGCGGGAAAGGTGAAAGGACAGTCTATTCTCCTTCACTGGCTGAGGGATATAGTTAACCATTTCTGGTGGTGCTGCAAGACGGCAGAAACATTTGAGCAGTTTCTTGTAAGCAGGAAGAATGTTATAATAGAAATAAATGATAATAATGCAATGATTCAAAAACCTGTGATATGATAATGTTTTTGTTTAATTGTTTTACTTTCCTCAGGCACTTTGGATTGGAGTTCTGCATCATGTTTGCAACAATCACACCTGGGAAACAGGAAGCTGCCAACACGACCACCTTGAAGACACTCAGGATAAAGAGTGGATTGAGAGAGATTGAAAGAGCCATAAAGCGCTTGTGGAGATCGTCCTCAACAAGCGTTGGCAGAAGGATGTCCACAAGTATCTGTGCTTCAGGTAAAGCGTGGAGACATGACATTTTAAAAGAAATCTAAATGATACGCAAGTCATGTGTGGGTGTGTTTTTTAGTCTAAATCTATTTTTAAATTTGTCCAGATCGACAGCACGTCTCGAGTCTTTTCAGAATCACATTCTGATGTATGCCAGCAAGCGCCAGGCCTTCACTCCCCGAGTGTATGACACGAGAGTTGTGCTCGCAGCCCTGGACTACAATTTCCACCGGGAACGACCGGCATACAGGACGGCTGAGGGCCAACAAGTGTATGTCAAACTCTCAACAATTTGTTATATTCAAATAATTGCAAGTTCACATTTTAAATTATGTATTCAGAAATATGACAGTTTATTACTCATAATGATTAAATGACTTGTAGCAATTGTCTTTTGTTAATTTAAGTTATAGGAAGAAGTACAATAAAAATGCAAGAAGATATAGCCTTTACACCATGAAGTGTACAAAATCATATGGTTACATCCCTGAGATACAAGCACGCATCTTGAAGGCGAGAGTCACAAGTGGAATTGGGATGCCGCGAAAGAGGTCCCTAAGAGCAGATGACCCAAGGTGTCTTGGTGTTGTGCCACCGATACCGCCACCATCAACATCAGAGCTGATGCATACACAGGTCACCAGAGGTCCGGGTAAGTGACAAACATCTACTTGGCCTTATTTTAGCCCATTAATTTTGTCACATACTTATTCTGAATTGTGTATACATTTAATTGCACTTGTCTTTCACAGGATCTACCTTCCATGCTATTACCAACTTGGAGACAGATTGAGATTGAGTTGTTTTACTGATATTTGAGTTGTAAATACATGATCAAAAATCATTCTACTTATAAATAAATATATGTTTGCATTTTCAAACAAACTTCATTTTAAGTTTTTTGTGTATCATTCATTTTGCACATAATTTTGAAATGTTTCTCTATCCCTATTTTAGAAAAAATACATTACAAAGTAAATTAACAAATATTTCATTCTTTATAACAAAGTATGAAGTAAACAGAACTTCAAAGAATACAACATTTATAAATCGATATTACTATTTACAAAAAATTTTTAGATCCCTGGAATGTAGCCAGTGTATTGTGCCTGAGGGTCTGGGAATTTTTCCCTAATCCTGTAAACACAGCAGCTTGGAATGACTCTCCTGTTCCCCTGTCCTAATGAGCCATGCTGCCAGAAAATAAAGTGTCTATAAGCTGCATGCCTGTATGCCTCATGTTCTGCAGTAGTCTCTGAAGAAATGAAAGGAAATATGATTATAAGATAAGATCTAGTCCATTAGATATACATGTAGGTATAACATACATCATGTTTTGCAGTATATTGCACTTGAGACATTGCAGGGATCTCATGTATAAGTGTTTAAAAAAAATATGTGTGTGCAAAAGAAAACATTGCTCTCTGTAAGATTTTCTATAGCTTTCTTTTTTTATATATATAAATTATCAATTGGCTAAAGTTATGATTTTGCTATGTGGATAAGATTGTACAGAGAATTAAAATAAATTTTTACAGCTAGACACATAAATTGTACAAACCTCGGTCGTTTCTCTTCGCTGCCTTTGAAAACTTTCAATTCTACTTTGATCGTCTCTTGTAGTTGCCGGGTATCTTTGTCGTCGTTGTGTTGACTTTCGCGCTCCTCGTCGTCCATCTCCTCGCCTAACGTTAGATCCCACTGATCCACTGCCTCTCTGTCCTCTCCCTCTACCTCTACCTCTTCCTCTTCCTCTCCCTACTGCTGAATCATCCGATGATGATATCTAACAATCAGGTAATTCAGAAAATATAACGAATATAGGCGGCATTACTACTAATTACAACAGTTCATGTTTTTCAGTGTCAGAAACTCATACTGTAACATTCGTTTGTTCGTTGTGTCAAGTTGCTGTTTTTTTTAATTACAAACCTGTTCACCCGGAGAAAAACTCAAAGAAGTGTTATTACAAGACATCCTGTCATAGCATTTTGGTACATAACGGCAACCGTAGATGCAATACGCACTTGAAAAAGCGAGGCGCTGGAGAGCAAAATTCGTTTGAATGCAAAATAATATTTAACCACTAGATGGGGGTAATTCCTACACAGAGTCCCTTTAAACCAAAATAACCAAAATAATATATATTAGCTTCTTATTAAACTAAATAGCCTTCTTACAGCTGGGTCTCAGTAACAACAACCAAAAACACATAGTTTTCTACTACATAATCATTATAAACACACCATGGATAACTATGCAGTGTCAGATGAATACATAAGCACAATAGTAGTGTAACACTAATAATACTAGTATTATTAGTGTTACACTACTATTGTGCTTATGTGTATTCATCTAACACTAATAATACTAGTATTATTAGTGTTACACTACTATTGTGCTTATGTATTCATCTGACACTGCATTAGCATGCTGTTAGCGAACTTTAAGCTAACAATACTGCATTTCAATTGAGTACCTCAGATTAAACAACACTCATAAAAAACCTAATACACCAAAAATACATATGTAAAACATTTACAAGGGTACTCACATGTCTCTGAACGCACACATGCACAGATAGCAGCACAGATTACAACTATTCTCTTCAGAAATATCTACGATGTGCTTCCCGGCCACTCTCACAACTAACTCAAAAACGAAACCTATCAGTCCGCGCAAAACGGATGTCCTCTCTGTGACTCCAAAACAAAGGCGCTGATTGGCTGATCCCCACCAGGACATTAATAACAAGTCCTTCGTTACAGTAGTTATACAACAAGTCTAGGCTACAAGTGACTCTCCGTGATGAGTAGGCCCAAAAATGTGTTTCGAGATCGCCCAAAATGTCTGAGATTCGGCTTTTGCAGTCACCATTCATCATGTTTACTGTGGCGAGCAGGATGAGTGAAGGCCAAGGGAGAACGACTGGCGTGTGGCATGATTATGATGAGCGAAACCTGTGAGACGTAAGTTACCGGTCTCATATCTCTCACAGAGGAGCAGGAATTTTCTTAGCAATGTTAAAACCCACATCAACCGATCCCTTTTTTAGTGTTCATGTAAACAATACATCAGAATTAATTCAGTTAGAATGAAAAAAAGCTGTACATGTAAACAATGCATGGCAACTGCAGAAAGCAAAAGCTGAATCCCGGACATCGACGGCCGGACATGTACGGGAAAAAGAGGACGGTAACCCCTAAAGTTACTACTCGGCTTTCTCCACAGAACAAGAGCCTGCTAGCTTAGTGTGGGGAACTTTTTCCTTGTAGCAAAGTTAGAAGCTGAGAAGACCAGGAGACAATGGACGTTTTCCAACCAGAAGTTCTTTATTGCTGGTAGCTGCAGTCATTCCAACATCGTCTAACTAACTATAATACAGAACTGTATTATATACTTTACAAGGGGGAGGGATTTACAGAGAGGAGGAGACTAGGGGCAAAGCATGCAAATGACGTAGGTGTGATCTTGTTTCCAAACCTTTCCCCGGTCTGCTCGCATCAGCATAACCGTTATTCAGGGCATTTAGGCTAATCCCATCTGCCTGACTAGATTGCTCAACCATTACCATTATCATAGAGACAAAAGCAGAGCTGTATCTTGAACTTAAAGGAGAACTCCGGCGAACAATGAACCTTTGGTCTAATAAAACATCGGTACCTAGTCAATCGTTCTCTGAGATTTATTTTCATAATAATCTAATGTAAAGAGTTTTATCTCTAAAAACTGTTTAGCGTATAATGCTAGCAATGGGGGCATTGACTAAGTAAAAAGAAATCGCTAGTTTATACCACTAACAAGGCTCAAAATAGCCCCACACTAACGCAGTAACATAATAAGGCTCCATACATGCAAAACGAAGCATTGAGAACTTTGAAAGTGTACAGACCATTTAATAAGAAGATACTTTATGGAGACAGTTCACTTCGCGTATACAGACAGGAGCCATCTTAGGAAATAGTCTCGATAAGTCGATCCCCGAACGCCGTTCATACAGTTCAGAAGTTTGTTAAACTTCATATAGTTCAGCTCACTCAGCACGACGTTCGTAGTTTGACTTATTGAGACTATTTACTAAGATGGCTTCTGTCTGTAAACGCGAAGTGAACTGTCTTCATAAAGTATCTTCTTATTAAACGGTCTGTACACTTACAAAGTTCTCAATGCTTCGTTTTGAGATGGAAAAAGCTGGGAGCGGGGGAAGAGTATATGGAAATGGAAGATGTAATGGAGGAGGAGTTGGATGAAGAGCCTTTGAAAGGTTCTGAGGGTACTGTGTAGGGCTGAAACGATTCCTCGAGTTACTCGATTCCAAATATTCCTCTAGGCAAAATCTCTGCCTCGAAGCCTCGTTAAATTTCTATGCGCACTATGCGCGCGGCGCAGGGATTTGAATGTTTCACACGAACCGTTTATTCACACGGATCTGTTCAGGCAGCATATATTTTGAATTCAGTTGGCGATGGCGCAGAAATTGTCTAAAGTGTGGGATCATTACACACTTAATAAAGAAGACAACAAGGTGCAGTGTCTCTACTGCAAAATAGAGCTGGCATACCACAACAGCACATCTTCCATGATTCAGCATCTGAACAGGAGACATCCATTCCATGCAGTTTCACCAAGCGTCGCTGAAACAAGGTAAGGTAGTCTAAGTCTATTGATGTTCGCTCATTTTAATCCCATACTGTATTTGTAGCGATGTCGTGGTGTGGTTTGACTAGATATGATTTTTATCTTTGATGACATTTTTAAGTAGTAAACGTAACTTTCACGTTCAATTGCAAGAGAGTATAGCCTAAAAAAGGAACCCTTTCATACACACACACACACGCCAGTAATACCACATATGCAGACATCCTAAGTATTGATTAATTAGATTAATTAGATTAACACGGACGTGTTTCCTTGCGAGACT